ACATCCCAAAGCTATTTATACATATATTCTAGTCGCAATTTCCAGCTATACTAATTGTCGCGGCTGAAGCTGGAAATGGCTGAAACTGGAAATTAGGTATCTAAATTTAAAAACATAAACCCTACCAAAATCCACTTATAATCGAAAAATGCGCCCAAAAATTTTTTGAAAATTTCATATTAAAATAATTAAAATTTCCAGCTTCAGCCGCGGCACTAATTTATTATAGTGTTTACATAAATTATTATATTGCCCATTCGAGTACAACATACATATCTTATATATCGATCGTACCCAAATCAATAACTTAACTGAGTCAGCCAAAGAATCATTCAGCTAATTTTCTCAGGTGTTCCAGAATTTATGATAATAGCTATAATAATATTTAATTTTGGCCGGATCAGATACTTACTATAGATTAACTCATGGATAACCCGTGGGCCGCTTTCACCCGGATTGCCAAAACACAGCCCGGGCCACCCGCGGGTGACCCGGGGTCCAATCACTAACAAAAATTATAAAATATATCTATACTTTTTAAATTTATATATTAAATAAATTTTTATTATATTTATTACAGTATTTATAATATAGAGTTTTGTCCAATAACATTTAAAGCTAAAATTAGAAGTTAAAGGGTTAGAATTTAAGATTTTTTAATGCACAGAGTATTTTAATTAAAATATCAGATATATATTAATTAATTAGCTATTTTTTAAGATTCGCATAACAACTATGATATTTAACATTTATATAGTAATCTGTATTTTAATGTTAAAATACTCTATATAGTTAATTAATACTTTTTGTTTATCTTTATTTAGCCATGTGGAAATTCACGATTAGAGATTTATCCGGGTAGACATTTTTTAATATGGCTATAATGAATTCCCGGATAACCGGGTAATTTAATAATACCAGAGTAGGATCTATTTACGATATTTCTCAGATTAATTTTTACTAATCAGAATTTCCAGATTCTTCAATTCCCTACATGGGTATAGAAACAGTTGTAATAAATTAAAATATACCTACTATTTATTCTCCGAGACGAGAATAGTGAAACATCTCTCAGTGGTATATGTGGGCGCTTTACGCCCCATACATGCGTTACGACGACTTGAGGGGACTCGTATGTTACTAATCATTTCTAAAATTTTCGGGAAAATGTCTACCCAGTACAATCTCTACTTATTTGATATTTTTATTATATGGCTATAATAGATTACCCGGATAACCGGGATAATTTAATAATACCTGGTAGAGATTTTCTTGACGGGTGCAATCTCTAAAATAAAAAAGCCAAGAGATGAATATTAACCCGAGGAAATAACTAATAAAAAAAAAAATTTTATGATAAAGATTGTGATCAATAACATATGTAAATCGCGTTTCTAATGAGACGATGAATAATAGTGCTAGCCTAATAAATTAATAATATATCTGATATGCATATGTTTAACAAAAAAACACCCTATTTTCCTATCACAGGGAAATAACCCAGTAGATAGATCGTTGTCCTTTGAAACCTCAAAAGGCCCTCAAATGATCGAGGATTCTTATTTCCGGAAATAATGGATAAATAGTGTAGTGTTTGGATCCGTGGATATCCGACTATTTTTTAGCTCAATCCGCTGGACTTTTACATCCGGTCATAACCTATCCGATAAAATCTGTTGAATCCGGTGAACCTATCGTAATTTTTTTTTTTTTTTTGAAATGAATGTCTACAAAAAAATATATATACTGTATATATGTAAGTCACTCTCGTAATGGTGAACTCTCAATATTTTGAAGAATAATTATTGTGAAGTCAGACTCAAAACCAATTTATAAAAATTTGTTGATATAGTGAATTTACCAATAAAATTCTCTATAGTGAATTTTAAAAAATTTTACTAATAGAATCGATCATTTCATTTCATTATAACGAGAGTAAGTTATACAACTTATATATATTTTTTGACAAAACATTAAAATATTTATACAAAGAATTCTTTAATAAATTGATAATTCAGGTAATTTTTTTCAATTACATAAAATTACTATAAGTCTAAAAGCTCGTTATTTGTTTCTTCTGTTTTCGTTTGTCACAATCTATTCATATGCAAGAGTTTTACAAGATAAAAATAACGAAGTAGAAATTTAGCCATTCAACCAAAAAAACCTTTTGTTATTTCTGTTTTTTATCAAAATGCTTTATTACCATTGCAAATAAGCAATCACGACACCCACATATAGGGATGGTAAAAAAAACAGTTTAAAAATGTTTTTGTGTTTTTAATTGAAACAATAAGACGTTTTAAAACATTGGCAGCTGAGTTTGAGACTGAAATAATTGGTTAATTTCTGTACCGGAAAAGTTCCATAATATCGTTTCGAGAAAACATTCATACGAAAAAAATATCATATTTATTATTAAAAGTATAAGATCTTAAAAATGCATTGCATTTAAAGATGCAAAACTGTTAATTTCAAATTTAACCTTTTTACTAACGCTAAACAAATTAATTTATTTAATATTTGAATTGCCATAATTTACGATAACAATGATTAAGTCAAATGGTTTAAAATGCATTAAAAACTATTTTAAACCAAACAATCATGTTTTTAAAGATCATGCTTTAAGTAATTTGCCATCCCTACCCACATAACCCCGGTTCTAATTTCGGATAATCCAGTGGGTATCCGAAAAAATATCCACCGGATTAAAATAATCGGATTCAAATACTAAGTGTGTGCGTAACTTTTTTTAAGGGGTATTAGGTATTAGGGAGATTAACAAGTCTTAATCAGGTTTAAATCGGACTAATCTTAACTGCCGGAGAATTGGTTGTCGGGGAAATCTATCGATGATCCTAATATTAGCAGATACGCACTGTACTCACATTATTGGAGGTCATCTAAAGCCTAGTGAATATGCATGTGCACAAACTACAACTCAAAATCTCAAATCCCAAGCATAGTAAAATTGTCCTAAATTCTAATCACAAATCACAATCACAAATCCTAAATTTCCAATTCCAAACATAGTAAACCAAATTCCAATTCTAAACCCAAATCTAATGGTTCTGTCGCAAATATACTTGTATTATTTAATATGTATCATATGGTTTTTAATTTTAAATTGATTATGTAAGCTGTTCCATGATTGGAAAGAAAACCACTGCTGGGTGTCAGAAAATAGAAACTAATGTATTAATATTAGGTATATATATATATATATATATATTAAAAAGAATGCGAACACATCTGTTCTATTGCTCCTCCGCTACACTTAGGATAACTATTGCACTTTCCCATTAAATCTTCCGTCACGCTACGGTTAATTATTGTAAAGCTGTTTTTTCATAAATTCTACCGACGTCGACTAACATCAAAAATTTGTCAGAATTGTGAAACAGCTGTAAGTTCTCCGCTACTCTCCGAACGATAAATACCTTGTTACAAAAAAATATATACAGTATATACATGCAGAATATATAAAAACTTTATAATAACCAGATAAATTTTATCGACCACAGCTCTGAAACATTCAAGAAAATGATAATATATGGTAAATTTTCGAAACACACATTAATCTATTATTTGGTATCGATCGATATAGATATAGATATAGATTATTATATAATGTATAACGTACGATTTGTTGAACATCACACGGGTACAACAAACTATTCCTAACCTAGAAATAGATAGTTGTACATTTACAAAGAAGAGTTTATCCAAGGTAATCTCAATAGATGACTATATATAAGTTAATATGTTAAGGTAGAAACGGGTATTTGAATATAGCATAAAAGTTACTTCAAAGAAATTTGTATAGAAATGATTGTCTTTTGTTTTTGTTTTTTTTCAGTCGTGAAAGTGCAGATTAACATTTATTTAAATTTTTTTTTTTTCTTATTTGTTAAGATTAGAAAGTGTTTATTAAAAAAGGAATGACGAGACGCAATTTAAGGTATAGCGATAACGATAGAACGCACGAAATGCGCTAGGTCACATGACAAAGGACCAATTTATTTTCTTATTTTTATATATTTCATATGAATGTACGTACTACAGGTTTACTATAATAAGGTATTACAGTATATTGTATCGTATGATAACAGATAAGTCTTGTACATACGTACCAAAACCACTCAGCATAATGAAGGGCTAAGCGTAAATATTTTATGTCGATAATAAAATTTGGAAAGATTTCTAACGAAAAAGGATAAAAAGTCTGAGCCACACAAACTAAGTGCATACAAATATGTAGATAGATATATTGTTCGACACTGTACGTAAGTACGTAAAGTAGCGTGAATCACTTCATGTTACTTTCCTACGCACGAATCATTGAAACCGTTCATCAACAAACGTCGTCACTAAGTCTGCAAGTTATTATGTAGGTTATTTAGGTCTTTTACGAAGTTATATTTTGCTTAATTCGGAATGAATAAATGCGTACGTATTTAAAGTTCTGATGACCAAACGCATGATCATAACGTGAGGATCATTTTGACTAAAAAAAGATTAAAGTAGATCTCTACTCTTTATATACATTAGCAATCGGAATACCCCATGGTCACCAAGAAGTGACAACAAAATCGGTCTATTTAATTTGATGAAGAGAGCCATTGTTCCAATCACGGAAAAATCTTAAATGGTGCGGAGTTGAGTTGTGTATGGATCTAAAAATAGATGAACTCAGAATTTTTTCTGCGACTGATCTTAATGGCCGCATGAATAGACATAAACTAAACATTTTATATTTATTATGGCTTATCATATACGTGTAACTACATGAAAAAAATTTGTGTATTTTTTTACACACATAAAAAAAAAAAAATAAATAACAAAAAGGATTAAAAGAAATAAATAAATATATTCACCCATTTTCTTTTTTTTTTTTTTTTTTTTTTACCTGTTTTTCACGATAACATTCGAAACAGAACTTTCCAAATACTTTGACTCACTTGACCAGTTTTTTTATTTCATAAATATTCTTGACCAAAATGGAATATAAAAACGAGAGACTAGAAGACGTTACTATAGAAAATGAATATATAAACAATCGGATTAATTTAATAGAATATGAGTCGTTTGAAAAAATAACTCCTTTATTACCAATAAATCAAAGTTCTTGTAAAGTTTTTTCCGCTTTGTATGGCAAAAGTAAAACCATCGTTTGTCTAAAAACGTTAAGAAAAAATTATTTTAATAATAAGAATACTGATCGAAATGTTATAGAACGATTTGTAAATGAGGTTGGTTGACGAACTTAATTTTCGATAAATAATTTTGATGTTTCAATATATAACTCATATATAAAACCAATTCTATTTCAGTTGACAATATTATCAAAATTATCTCATACAAATTTAGTAAAAATTTTAGGATTATGCCAAGGTTAGTTTTTTATTATTTTTAAAAACAAGGTTATTATTATCGATTAAAAAAATCATTTATTTTTAGACTCAATAAATGATAGCATGTTCCTAGTTAGGCAATATGCTAACGGTGGGTCCTTACGACAGCATATACAACGTGATTACTTACGACTAACTTGGTCTGATAAAAAGAGAATTGTCAAAGAAATTATAACGGGATTACATTATATACACAATGAAGGAATTTCTCATCGAAATTTGGTAATGTTTATTAATTAATATTATTACTTTTTTTTTTCATTATTTATTCACATCATATATGCTGTTAACCATAGTCATTTTGTTAATTCAGAATCCTGATAATATATTAGTACACGATGGTCATATGATGATTACGAATCTTTGTTTTTCAGATACCGAGCAAGGAACGTTGACCCTTGACGGAATGATCTCGTTTATTGAACCTTTGTATTTGCAAGATCGACGTTATCAACGAGATAAACGATCTGACATTTACAGCTTGGGTGTTATTATGTATGAGGTGTCAAGTGGTCGACCTCCTTTTGAATTGACTGGTTCCAATTTTCGTCTTCTACTTCAATTAATTTTGAATGGAGATAGGGAATCAGCAATTACGCCTGGTACACCTCTTAAATATGTTCAACTTTATAGACATTGTTGGAATGGGGATCCTAATAAGCGTCCAACCATCGAACAAATGTTAGATAATATTGAAAATATAAATATAGAATCAACTGTACGTGATTCTGAATGTCGGTTCAAATTTGAATCACCTCCAAATTTACCATTTCTTGATGTTCCCGTGGCCACACCTTTTATCTCTCCAAGAGTAGATTCAATTGGTAATACTTTAAAATCTAATTTAGTTAGTTAGTTAGTTAGTATCAATTTAATTCTTTTTTTTTTACTAATATTATTTTTTATTATGTTGTAGGTTGGCGCAATTCGATTCATGAAATTGGTTTTACGAACCAAAATTATTTGACTCAATCGGGATTAAAACCTGTATGTTTAAATAATATTAATCTTTGATCCTTATTTATGTATATTATTATTATTATTTTCTGATAATTTTATTTTTTTCAATTTTAATTCAATATTTAATAATATTTCTAGAATGTCACTGACCCATTACCAAATAGTAGGCCTGAAAAATCACGTAGTGCGAGCTTTGAAACCCTAACGAATAAACGTTCTTATGTTCTAAGCGAAAAAAGTCAAAGTTTTCATGTTCAAACTAACAAAAAAACAGAAGAGAAAAACTCCAATGTCTTTAATATACGCGCTACAACATCTTTATTTGATAGTCGCCAACCACAAGTAATTTTGGTGGCTCGTTATTCACCAGCAAAAAACATTATTTCAGTTTTAAATACATTAAAGAAACGAGGGGTTAATTTAGATAAAAGAGGCATTTACAAGCACAAATCCGTATTTCATAGTCTTGTTTGGAATGATGATTTGTTTGATATATCATTTGAACATTCAAAAAAACTTCCTCGTCATGATCGTTTTCGTGCAGTATTACGATGGTTAATATCAACTGGACTAGACATAAACGCAACGGATAGTTCCGGATGGACAGTTCTTCATGAAGCAATATGGAAACGTAAAGAACCAGGAGTAATTTTAGCTTTATTAGAGAACAATGCAAATCCAAATATTCCAGATAATTTTGGATTGACACCATTACATCAATGTCTAGATCTTTTACGTAAGACAAAACGAGATGATGAAAATTTAAATATTTTCACCATAATAAGAATACTTTTACATTCAGGAGCAGATCCAAATCTGACATTACCAGAATATACATTAACAATATCAGGAGCATCACTACCAAATTGTTTGTTTGCAGCTGTTTACCTTGGTCTTCCTTTGGACATTATTGAATTAATGATTAAAAGAGGAGCAGATGCTACTTCTACAACATTTATGGGATTATTCTTGCTTGATTTTGCATCAAAAGTTAACAATACTTTAGCATTAAGATATTTGGCAGATAATAAAAATTTATTAATGAATAAAAGAACGAGTATTTTTCATTCATTGAAGCATAATTCAAAAATTGGAATTCCGCTGAAAATAGAAAAACAGAATAATGGAATACGAAAAATATTGAATATATCAATCTTTTAGCAATATATTTTTTTTAACAATCTTAAAAATCTATTTTTTAACAATGTTTTTTTTTATTATTAACAATAACTATGGTTAACAACCTTATTGTTAAAGTAATTGTTTCCAAAATATAATTACATTCTTGTATGTATTATGTATGTATGTATTTTGATCATTTAGATACGAGTTATAGAAACTTGTCTTGTATTGGACAAATCTTTATTTAATTTTATTTTACGATATACAACTTCCTGTAATTATTTTTTTATTTTATTTTTGCATTACCACTTTATTTTATTCTAGGCTAGGGAAGACGGATTTTTTTCTTTTTTCGATATGGATAATTTAATCTGAATGTTATTGTATTATTATTATCTTTTTTTAAAGCGTTTTTTGTATAATTTTTAGATCACACCAGATTTTGAAAAATAGATTAATGATTTTTTGCATATCAGATATCGATCATTTTTTGATATATCATTATTATCAAATGAAAAATATTAACGTTAGCAATATTACTAGATTTGAAAAGGATACTGAAATTTACGCATTACATAATCGTTCAAGCAGATTTTCTTAATAGTTTGAACGAATGGTCAAATGTGTCACGAATACGACTTACATTAACGAATAAAACAAAACATGTACATAATAAATTCGTGATACTTTTATTAACCGTTATTCTATTATGATTTGTGTTAACATTATATAAACATGAACAAAGTTATAAACATTACGGAATGCATGATTTTTTGTCTTGAGGGGGTTTTTTTTCTTTATGTATTGCGTTGTAACTATTACGGGGGTTCGGTAAATCAGCGTCCTCACACAGATAAGAAAAATATTACCCTTATTGTTATAGATTATCATTTAGTATTATTTGTGTGCTGTTTTACGAACCACTCTTCGGTGTTTTACGAACCATTATATGTAGTCTTACGAATCACATAAAGGAACTAGACTAGGCTATCCTAAGGAGTGAGAATAAATTTAAGAATCAAAGATCCACGCAACCACATGTTAGTAATAAACATGATTAACATAAAAATGATTACACAAAATTTATTACACAAAAATTTGGTACAAAAACATTTCTTTCTTGTTGATCCAGTCTCGATTCATCTCTTTATTGACCCCTAAATCTGCTTCGTATTGTACGTATCATTTAAATAAGGATTTTACACTTACTTAGTATTGTAGATCAAATAATCTACACTAATTTAATGGTAAAGATTTTTTGTAAATAATAGTTTATCATTATGTATTATGCGCATAGGCCCGATTAAATTATAATTTACTGTGCATTTACGCGACACTTTTCTAAATGAATATTTATTAAGGAAATGATCATTTTTTCCCATTTGTTTATGTATTATACGACGTAAGTACGTAACAGGTAAGTAAGTACGCACGTACGTGAAATAGATTTTCAATGCAAGTTAAATTCCTAAATTTAAATTCTTAATAACTGTTTAAACAAAACAAGAGGGTTAAGATTTATTTTTAGAAAATCGTTTAACGTTTAATATCGTAAAATGAATATAACACATGACTGAATGTCTTTAAATAGTGATTTTTCATACAAAAAAGTCAAAAATCTTTGCAGGTTACCAAAATGAATGACAAATTTAGAAATACCATATATATGCACAATTTTGTATAACAGTCATTCATGTACCCTGTATATATGTATATATTATACTAATATTTGTACTAATATTGTACTAATTTTCGGGGGGCAAATGTATTAATATTAGGAATTTATATAATGAATTATAAGAGTATCATATTTTACAATAAAATTTCTAACAATTAAAAATAAAGTTATCATAAACAATTTAAAGTTTACATTTATACGTGTATTACAGTATTAAAATGATTAGTTATTATAGTCAATTTTGTATTATAGTTGAAATAGTCAGGGGGGCTTTAAAAAAAATACGAGCATGAATATCGGAGAAATTCGGTGCTCACTTATTAATAAATTAGGATATTAAATACAAAAACCAAATCCGATTTATGTTATATATCTGATTTATTATTTTTAACAAACATATAATGAATTTAAATAATTTCAACACGTATATGGTTTTTTTAAAAAAATTTCATCAATTATTATAAAAATAAAGTAGGTTATTAAATGTTACTTATAGATAAATATTAAACCAGGATAAATTCCTAAATATATCTTTATTATTTATAAAAAAAAAATGCTGTTTTATTATTCATTATACAATTTGAATAATAATGCATTATGCTAAATAGGGTAGTATCGCAATATGACGTATTGTATGCGTGGTGCTTGTGATACTTATCATTCATCATTTGTTGTATGATAATCTATAATAGGTACACATGTAAGTACAGTACGTATGTGCGGACATTTGCACATTTGCTTCGACGTAACGTAACAAGTGTAACATTTATGGTACGTACGTACGTCTTGATGTATGATGATGAAAATAATCAGTGTTTCGCTATCACTAACGGATATAACGCGTGATGGAAATATTCTAATCATCTGACATAAATGTTATCCCAATTGAATGTTCACTTTTGAATGCTCAACTTTTTTATTCAAAATTTTAATTATTGTTTCATCTCCACATTTCAGATATTTCAGATCAGATGACTAGAATTCTAGTTAATTCTAACGATATCAAATTTAGTTAATTGATGATCCGGATAAGATCGGCATAATTACTATATTGGGACAATAGTAAATTTTGGGGATAAGTACAATATA